AAAAAAAAAAAAAAAGTGTCAAAGAGAAGGGAAAAACCTGTTCATACGCTTTCAACACCATCCCCTGGAGATCCCAAGTGTAAACGGTTTTATCTACAGAAAGGCATTTGACTCGGGCTGCAGTAATCGGGGTTGATTACAGCCACTCTGCGAAGCCAGCGGCGTGCGTGCGGGTGGGCGAGCGCCGTCTGAGCCCTCGGTTTAGACGAGTTCAACTTTAGCGTTCGGATAAACAGCCACCACGTCATAACCCTCGGGGGGCTTAACCCTCTCCTTGGCGTGGGTCTCGCAATACAGCTGCTCCTCGATGAAGAAATAGCCCCTCTGCTTCAGGTTGAGGCCGCAGTCGTCGCACATGAAGCACTCGGGGTGGTAGAGCTTGTCGCGGGCTTTGACGATGGTTCCCCTGGGGATGGGGAGAGTGGGGTCAGTGGGGACGCAGGGAGAAAAAAGCCCCCTCCCCCCCCTTATTCTCCCCACTGTTGGTCCCTGTGCTGTGCTGGGAGCTGGAGAGCTGCAGGCATGCACAGGAAAACTGTGATTTGTCTGCCTGCCTTCTTACAGCACGAAGAAATAAAATGCTGGCGTTCTCCGAAATGTGACTCAGCGTATGGCTGCCCGAGAGCCATTCCTCAACAAATGGACAAAAATAACCCACGGATCTCTTCTGCTTGACCCTGACAGTGTTCCTGCCTCAGTGAGGGAGTGCCAGAGCACGGTGCTATTCCTGTGATAAGCAGGGCAGAACTGTTCGGTGAATCATCTGCATTTTGCTGCAAGATTCCCTTAGAAGGGGCAGTTCCCACCATCCTCCTCAACTTTAGCTTTAGTCATAGAATCACAGAATGGCCTGGGTTGAAAAGGACCACAGTGCTCATCTGGTCCCAACCCCCTGCTGTGTGCAGGTCACCAACCAGCAGCCCAGGCTGCCCAGAGCCACATCCAGCCTGGCCCTTGGGATGGGGCATCCACAGCCTCCTTGGGCAACCTGTTCCAGTGCCTCACCACCCTTTGGCTGAAAAACTTCCTCCTCATATCCAACCTAAACCTCCCATCTCAGTTTAAAACCATTCCTCCTTGTCCTATCACTATCCACCCTCACAAGCTGTTCCCCCTCCTGTTTATATGCTCCCTTCAAATACTGAAAGGCCACAATCAGGTCTCCCCAGAGCCTTCTCTTCTCCAAGCTAAACAAGCCCCGTTCCCCCAACCTTTCTCCATAGAACAGCTGCTCCAGCTCTCTGATCATTTTAGTGGTCCTCTCAGCAAAAAAGCACCCCCATAAAGAAAAACAACAACCAAACAACAGCAAAAAGGGACTCGAGGATTTTGCTACAGCTTCTAACTTGTGCTGCTGGTGGAAAGCCACCTGGCAGCACAATGCACACAGCAGCACTTACACGATCCCATTGCCACATCTCGTGCACTCGGGGAGCATCTGCAGTCCAGACATGGCAGCGCCAAGCTTTGGTCCTGGAGGTTTGATGTTCCGAGGGTTGTTCAGTCTGTCGAGTTTTTCACCTGCCAAGAGTTTTAGACAAACACAGATTGAGGACTTGCTCTCTGACACTTTGTTCTTTATTTTCATTGTTGTTAAGAAGCCAGAGGGTTATTTTTCCCAGGAGAAGACGTGCTCTGCTTGTCACAGCCTGCTTGTAAGGAAGCAGAGAGCAAACACGTAAACAATGAGACCAGCAACCTGCAAAGCCACACAGCTGGGTGCACAGATGGGCACAGACACCGTGTGGACCCTCTGCTCTGCAGACCCCAGCTGCACCTCTGTCTCCACTGGGACAGTGCCAACTCAATGCACAGATGTCCTCAAAAAGCATCGCAGATGAATTTAGTGATTATTTAGGCCATATTATTTGGTGAAGTAAAAAAAAGAGAAACAGGAAAAATCTCAAAAAAAAAAGCTCCAAAAGGAAGGTTCTGCCCCAACCAACGTTTTGGGTGATTCGTGCCACCACTGAGCACTCAGGTAATCTGCTGTTTAAAAAAGAGGAGGGGGGAAAATAAATTTCAGGGCAAAACAAGCCCCTCGGAGAGGAATATGGCACAATGATAGAATGATAGAACAGCCTGGGTTGAAAAGGATGACAGTGATCATGTAGTTTCAAGCCCCCTGCTATGTGCAGGGTCACCAACCACCAGACCAGGCTGCCCAGAGCTACAATGGACCATTTCCTTCTGTTTCCCAGCCCACAGCCTCCAGGCACAGCCCTGGTGCCATCACTGTGCTGCAGCCACCAGGACCAGTGCCCCCATCCCACAGCCTCCATCCAGACAGCCCCAGCAGAGCAGATCTAAAGATCAGCAGCCCGGGGCCAAGTGCTGTGTTTCTGTGACATGTGTAGGCTTAAGGAAAAGGGAGAGGGTTGGAAGCAGTCAAACAACCCAGCAGCAGCACTGCTGGTCATCTGAACTTTGCTGAAGCATTACAGAGCTCTGTGCTAGGAGAGATGCTCATCACTCAGGTGCCCATAACTGCTGGTCCATTATGCAACAGCCAGGGCACTGCAGGGCTGCTGGCAGACATACAGCCCCCAAGCATCTTTGTATCCTCCTCCTCCTCCTAGTCAAAGCAGATCGTTCTCTCGTTTCAAACTGCAGCACAGTGCCCTGACTTCCTACGACTCTTGGAACCTCATAATGAGATTTGCAGCAGCTGGTATTTTCCCATAAAATCTAAGTTCCTGGATTCACATGATTAGAGTAAGAGGCTCTTGGAAGGAAACGAGAAGAAGTTTTTAGCCCCAGCAATTGCAAAGAGAAGCCTGAAAGCTTGAACATAAAAGCCTCAAAGGACTTAAGGTTGAAAGGCAAATAAAAAGAAGCTGAAATGTATCTTCTGGGGATCTTATTTTTTAATGCACAGAGCTGGCAATGACCTGAGTTAATGAAGCAGACAGGAAGCTGGGACTGAGCTAAGAGTGAGCCAGAAGCTCCTGATCTCTATTCCTGCTGAGGGCCGTCCACATCCTTATGTAAATGCCATTTATTGAAAAAGGCATTTGATCTTTCATCAATGATCCTACTGAACTGCTTTCAACCATTACATTTGTACCAACAATCTCAGAAACACAGCTGCCATGGAGATGCTCTCTTCAGACGTGAAGAACCAGCACAGCTCTTGCTGAGCTATGAGCAATGCACAGTTGAGCAGCAGGAGCAGCCCAGCTGGTCAGCATGCAGAAACACCCCCAGCTCCTGCCAGGGCCCTTTGCAGCCCCCAGCACCTGAAGCTCAGAAGGGAAAAGGAACACAGCTAAGCCAGCAATAGCATCCTGGTGGGTGCAGGGCCACGAAGAGGGGGGCACGGAGGGGCAGAATGGAGGTGTTTTGGGGACACTCAGCACAATGCTATCAGCAAACTTCCTACCGTTCTCCCCAGCCTCCAGCATGCCCTGCAGGTAGCGGAAGGACCCCGACTGCTTGGGCTCTGAGGCGGGCCTCTCGTAATCCTGGAGCATCTTGTAGACATCTGACTCCACATCGATCCCGTTTCTGTTCCGTGGGAGGGACTTTAAGGGGTCGGTGCTGTTTGGAAACAAAGAAATACTCAGATCAGATACATGCAGCAATCGTCAGCCCATCAGGGATGTACCTGGATAGAATCCAGTTTCACACAGATGCAGCAGAACACCTCTCTTCCCTGTAATCTAGGCCTGAAGGCATGCCCATCCCAGCACAGACCTATTCCAACTGGGATCAGCTTGCTTCCTGTTTGTTCCCTGTTGAGCAAGGCAGCCAGGGCAGGACCAGCTACTGGATGCCTTTAGGAGAGAGGGCAGCTGCTCACAAACACCGCACGCTTCCCCACAACACATGGCATTTACTGGGGGGGAAAATAAAAAGGATAAAACACCACATTTAATTACGTAGGTCTAAGGGAATCCATCCACCCCCGTGTGACAGTTCCATGGTGGCAGGCATGGAGGGGGCTGCTGTTCTCACCAGGGTCCCTCTGGTCGGTGCTCTGTTGGGAAGCTCTGAGTTGGCACATCCACGTGGGGTACAGCAAACAAAGAGCAAGGTAAAGCATTATGCCAGGATGGCTGAGAAGCATCCTTTCAGTGTGTAATTGTCCTGCTGAGTAGAGATGAGCTCAAGTGTTTTTGTGCTTTGTTGGGGCCTGAGAGTGCACAGCAGCTCTGTGAGAAAAGCCTTTTTCCTTCCTGAGTGCCAAGTACACCAAGGTCATCACAAGCCCCATAAAACAGTGAGATCCTACAGCCTCATCAGACAGCTGCACACAGCGTGGTGCTGCCTGACCACCTCTCCCCAGCAGTGCCATACCCAGCCCCAACACAGCCTGCTCCACTTCTTGGCCTACAGATAACATCAGATTTTGTTATCAGGATTTTTGTTTGGTGCCCTTCTTTTCAAATTCATTCCCTTTCCTGGAGCAGGGAATAACCCCAGGCTTGCAGAGCCAGCACAACACGAATTCATGCTGGCACACAGTTCTGGAGTTGAACAGGAACTCTGTATGCTCTCTGTATCTGATACAGGCTGGGGAGCATAAATCACCACCAGCACAGGATGTGTGAAAGCAGCCCGCAGCCCAGCCTGCCTCAGCAACACCCACCTGGGCTGCTCTTGGTATAAAACCTTTTTCTTTCCTAGGAACATTTATTTGGTAGGCTCCCAGACAGCTGCACTGAGCAGACTGTACATTGATAAACATCCCATTTCATCAGGCTTTGTTTCCTCGGTGAGCAATTCCAGTGCCCATTTCAAGGGTTGGCTGCTGAGATCATGGAGGACAAAACCCACTGATCCCATTTGAATGCACGCTCTGAAGAACCAGGATGGTGATGTACATTGACACCCCCCGGTGCCAGCCCCAGGCTGAGGGTCATTGGCAACAGAAGGGTCTTATGTGGACCTGGAATAGCAGAATGTTTGACCGCCTCAGAGGTAGATGATCAAGCATCACCCTGATATTCACACAAAGGTTTTGTGACTCCTGCAAACATTCTGTTCAGAATCTGGCATCTGCCAAGCTCCAGTTTTCGCTTTCCCTCCCACCTCCACTTGACCAACAATGCAGAAACCAAACCCAGCATCCCCAGTGCTGCGAGGAGCTCTGGGAGCACCACCCCAGGCATCACCTCTCCCATCCTCAGCGTGATGCAAGCAAAGAGCTGTCGGTGGCAAACTGAAGTCCCTTTGCATGCTGACACCACGTGCATCATACCTTTGGGAAGGAGAGATGTGCAGCCCACTGAGCTGCAGTGGCAAGGCAGCATCAGCATGCGACCGGCTGGGCTGGGAGTGCTGCAGGCTCAGTGCCTGCCTGCTGTCCACTGGGCTCCCACCTGCAGTGTGGGGCATGGGCCTCTTGCCCACTGCAGGGCCGTTATCCTGCAATGGAAGGAAAAAAGCAGAAAAAGCATGAGGTTTCTTGCTCTTGGTGCGAATGTAACACGAGGCTGCTCTGTGATGTGAGACCACAGTAGTCGTATTTTATACACACCGTGGAAATGAGAGGTTTGCACCAGGAGAACAGTCTGTAATTAGATCTTGCTGAATCTATGCAGCCTTTCCTGGTCTCTAATCACAAACCTGCCTGTTTCTCCAGGGCTGGCCGTGGCCAAGGATTCTCCTTTTACACTCCTGTAAAAGCACATTTGTTATTTCTGCAGGAGAAGGGCTGCGAGGCTGTTCCAGTCCCCATGGCTGTTCCTGCAGTGCTCAGTGCCTTCCTGCTGTTCACCCAGCAAAGCACAGCAGCAGCCGGCCGCACTGTGGGCACACGGTGTGACCCAAAGCTGAGTTCTTGGGTTTTTCTCTGGAATTCCCACACTTTTGCCTACTTGCAGCTATTTCCATCCACATGAGTCAGAAACACACCCGTGATGATGAAAGAAATGGGCTCTTCTGCAGGCAGCCGTGCTCCCTTTAATGTTTCCACCCATCCCAGGGCTGATGTGCGGTGCTGCTGCCCCGCTTCAAAGGAGAGCACTGCCCACATCTGTGGCACAAGAGCTGAGCAGAGAGGAAAATTACCTGCAAACAACCAGCAAAGCACATAGCGTGGGCTCTAACACAAAGCCTACATCTGACCAAAACCATCCAATAAATACTAATGGAAAACAAATGTCTATCACTGGTGCAGAGGAGAAAACACCAGCACTTCCAAGCGTAGTAAAAACGAACAGTTAAGAGAAATAAAAAACAGATCCTGCCAGAAAAACATTTTGCAAGTCCAATCTTTTGGCCTTCCTCGGGCAAAAGCCCCATTGATAAAAACAGGGCTTTAGTAAGAGCTGTGGGATGGGGCCCTCACGTTTCCCTGTACCCCAGATACGTGATTGCAGCCCTGGGTGCCATCACCACACAGCACACCTGCATACACGTGGGAAAGTGGTTTTCAACCCAATTGCTCCAAATTAGCTATTAAAAAGGGAATTCTGCTGCCAGGAATAACATCTTTAACTATTCCCCAATTTCTGCTCTTAAAAAAAAAAAAAAAAAGCTAAAAATTGCAACCAGGCTGCAGGTTTCCAGTTCCCAGATTGACATCGTTATTTCAAGGGAAATAAAGAAATATACTTTCAACCATGACACGGGGAGGAAAATAGGGATTGTAAAGGATTTGGGGAGGCAAGCAGCAGCACGTGCTCCTGGATGGCAGAACACCACGAGCTGTGGGCTCCAGGGCCCAAACAGCACTGTGTCCATTGGGACATGCCAGGATTCCTGTCCTCTCTTCAACAGAACAGAGCCTTCCCCTCTGCAGGCTTACCATAACCCACAGCAGCTCATGAAGCATGGTGTGCTCCTTCCTGCCCCAATCAGCAATTCATAAAACAAATGCTTCCATAAAGCATCAGGTCTGCCCAGTCCAGCCCCTACCCAAGGATGGGCACCCAGCGCTGAGTGCCAGGACCAGCAGGGTGCTGCTACCCCAGTGGGACTGGGAATCCCAAACCCCTAATAGGGACAATCAGGCAGATGGGCTTCTGCTGAGCCTCCCCAGCTCTGTGCAGGTTTGCTGAGCCAGGCTGGCATCAGGGGGCAGCTGAAGGGGAACACATAGAAAGCATTTTCCCCTGTATGTACACAAAGGGCTTTGTTCTTTGTCTTTACTTCTCTGCTAAAATCTTCCCTCTTGCATGAAAAACCATTCCCTGGATCGAGTTCAGTCTCCCTTTTTCCATCACAAAAGCTGGTTCAGAGTTTTCCCACGAGACCTGCATGAGGCTTTACATCATGCACTGCGCTCACGCCTTCGTTCTCAGAAACCTAGAACCAGATGGATTTATTTCCAGTTCTCAAAATTCGAGATCACAAAGTTTCTTCCCCCTTTGGGACCTAATTTGCTTCTCTCCGCTGGCTTTTTTTTTCCTGCTTTTTATGGCCTCTCTTAAATTAAGAGGGTTTGCAAACCCATTCTGAGAGCTGGCCTGCTCAGCTTCACCGAGGAGAGCTCCTGCAGCCCGCAGAGCAGAGATGTGCAATCTGCTTTCTCACGCTTGCCTTTCAGGAGCATCCATCACTGAGAGGGGCTGAGCTGACACACAGCATCTGGGGCTCCTGGAGCCCAGGTTGAATGGTTCATGGCTTCGCAGCTCCTGCCAAACATTGCTCAGTCAATTAACAGGCGGCTTTGCCCAAGCCCTTACATTGGTCTGCATCTCTGTTGGAAACAGGAACAGACCTTTCGCTTCCCTAATGAAAAATGTTTCTTTTGCATCATCGACTGCTGGCACAAAGGCATGTTTTCAGCCCACGATCTGTCCATGCACAGTGGCAGCAGGAATGCTTTCCCCTCACACAGGTGTTGCTCAGCTCCAGCAGCTCCATCCAGCAGAACAGGAACCACATGCAAGAAAGACAGAATACGCATACAGATATATACTGTGGCTTCACTGTTTCTAGGCAAATCCTGGGTACAGAGCAGGCTCTGCTCTGCTGGCTCACAAAAGCTGTGCTACAGACTCCACTGGTGCAGCTGAATTGGAACTTCCATTCCCAGGCTTTAAGTCAAATCCACAACGCAAGACTCAGAAATTAAACACTTCTGTCAAGCTAATCCCTGCTAGAATAAGTGTTCCCATAGCTAGAAAAAACGTGCAGCCAACCAGGAATTTTGGAAGGGTTTAGGGAATTCGTCTCAGTCTCTTCTCTCTCTTTGGAAGAGTTTATACCATGTTTTGTAACCAACATTTTTAGGGTCAACAAAAAGCATAAATCCGCTCGGATTTTTCAAAATACATCAAGGCAAGCAGGCAGCTGAAACGGTGTGCTCAATAGGAATAACACCCAGATCCAGAACTGGGAAGACTTTAATGATGGATTTAAACCCAAGCCCTTCAGCCTTCCCTTGGCATGCAGAGCTGCCTCCATCGCACTGCAGCAGTCACTGCCCACAGCCCTCGAGGCACTCACTGCACAAGTGCTGCTTCTGAAGTTGTGGGAACTCACATTTCTGTCCCGATAACGGCTTTAGGCACAGCTTTGCAGAACAAAAGAAGTAATAACGTTGTGACCCAAAGCACTTAAAACGTGCTCACTTCAAAACGCTTTACGCTAGTCCCTTAAGAGTGCAGGAGCACAGAATGAGCCTTGTCTTACAGAGACTAAAACCAAAACATCAGTATGAGAGGCACCTCAAGGGACCAGAGCACATCCAGGGCTCGCAGCCATGGGATGGCACCAACCACGCTTTGCTCTGTGCGTCGTTTATTTTCCTAAGGCAAAGCGGGGGG